GCGCGCGCAGGGGAGCGGACAACACAATGCGAACGGAAATCAAGTGCACCACATCCCCATACTAAAACAGCATTCAGATCCCCCCCTGGATTTAACGGCACCCCTGTTCGTGTTGTACTGTGCATATGATTCTGCCCCATCGTCCATCCTAAATATGAACTCGTACCATCCCAAGCAAGACGGCATTGACACACCCCCTCGCCCGCTGGAAACAATCTACTCGCGCGCACTCGTTCATCAAACACCAATAGTTTTCACAACTCCTCGCGCGCATGCCAAATTCTCTTGGGAGAAAAAAAAAAAAAAAAAACCCCCAAAAAAAAAAAAAAAAAAAAAACACACACACACACAAACACACACACACACACACACACACACACACACATTGGCTTCGCAGAGATGTCGAAATCGACTGCCCCGCAACAAATATCCCCCGACAACCACCCCCCCGGAAAAAAACGGGCCCGGGCTCTTGCGAACTCTGAAAGAAACCAGAGGTTGTTCAAGATTTCCATAAAATGCTACCAAGCGGGCCTCCCTCGCGCACATGTCGAATTCGCTCGAACGCCCCTGCGCGCGCGCTGTCGCAAGAATCCCTCGCCAATAACTAAACAAAATGCACGCGCGCGTCGTCGCGCGCACGCGCCGATATCTTTCGAACACCTTTGGCCCGGCAAGGATTTCCAAATCGAGTGCCCCGAAAACGAATTGAAACGCATATGATACATTAAGAACGAGGGGGGAAAAACAACAACCCAAACAAAGGCTCGCGCCCCCGCGAATTATTCCATGTTGAAACCAAAAAAAATGCCACACGGGCCTCTCGCGCTGCACGCCGAAATCATTCGAACGCCTTCTCGCGCTGGGGGGGGCGTGATCCGTGTCAAAAACGGGGCGAAGTGCACGCGCGCACGCGCCGCCGCGCGCGCATGCCGAAATCCTTCAAAACCGAAGGTATCGTAAGGGTGTTAAAATCGAGCGCCTCGACATTGCACGTAGGTATAAGCAAGACTTTGCATCAACAGTGTTCAAAAATACCAGCGCTCGCGCTCCTGCGAATTCGTAAGAAGACCATCGGTTGTTCCACATTGACACTGAATTCGGCCAAGCGGGCCCCTCGCGCCGCACGTCAAAACCATTCGGACGCCCCTGCGCGCGTGCCAGGGGGGTGGGCGGGGCACGATCCGTGTCAAATAACTGCATGCAAGCCATTATCGCGGGTCGGCCGCGCGCGCACGTCGAACTCCCTCCAAAACCATTATGGCTGACGCAATGGCGCCGTCATCGTCGTCAGCGCAATCAGCCTCGGCGCCGTCACTGGCCTTGCCGCCGTCGTTGTCACCATCGTCACCTGCATCGTTACCACCACCATCGCGTCCACAGTTGTCGACGACGCCACGAAACCGCGCCCGCCCAAGTCGCCGACTCGCACTGAAGTGCCCGCTGGAAAGTGCCCAGCGGTCAGCGACACCGCGGCCGCGTCGGTCGCGCCAAACTATCTGGCCGCTGCGCGCGCGAGCACGCGCGGGCTAGCGCGCCCGCAGAGATGCACCAGCCAACACCAAGCATTCATCGCAATCGCCGCCGCATGGGCTGGTGGAAACCAAATTACAGGCGGGCGGGTGGGACGATTGCGTGGGCAATGGAGTTGCCAACTCACTGCGAACGAAAATCAATTCCACACCATCGGCTCTCCTTTTTCAAAGAATATTAACATCGATCCCCCCACCCACCCCCCGACTTAACGGATCACACCTTTGCATTGCAATTACAAGATTCCGCCCCATCGCCCACCCGAAATAGCAACGGCCCTCCCCCATCCACTGCAAAAACTATGCGCGCATGCTCGCTGATCAAAAACCACCCGTTGTCGAGAACCCGTTGCAAAACACATGCAAATATAGGCTTTGATCTCTACATGTCTATATATGTGTATATATATATATATATAAATACATGCATATGCAAATATGTGTAACTATAAACATGAATTAACATATACTAGAACCACGCGCGCTACGCGCGCTTAGATTCTAGTCGCAGATGAGGCACGGGTGCCGCTGTAAGCCCCGCTGTGGTCACAACGACGACTTCCAGCGTTCTCGGGCCCATGCCATCGACGCAAAGAAACGCGTAGTCAGAATGCTCTCGCTCTGCCGGGGCCGCCATTGAGGGGGGGGGAGGGGGGAAGCAACTTGTGAAATGATAAGGTATAGCGATGCCCCGCTCGCTCTGGCGGGGCCTGTCTGGCGCTCTGGCGGGGCCGTGGAGAGGGAGGAGGAGCACGAAAGCTGAGGGGTGAGGGGAGGAAGAGGCGAGAGGAGGGAATGGAGGCAACGGGAGGGGTCGGGAGGGAAGGAGGGGCGGAGGGGGGAGGCCCGGGCCATCTAGGCCGTCTTGGAGCGCTCTTGGGCCTCCCGCGATATGGGCCTCTTCGGGCTCTCTCGGGACGCCTCTCGGAGCTCTCTTAGGGGCCTCTTGGAGGGCTCTTGGGCTGTGTATTGGCCGTGTCGGGCCCATCTGGGGCCACGTTGGGGCCATCAGGGCCGTCTTGGAGCGCCTGGGGGCCTCCCGCTCCCGCTCTGGGGCCCAGCTTGGGCCTGTCCTGGGTCTCTCTTGGGCTGTCTGAGGCTCGTCCCGGGCAATTTTCGGGCTCCCTGGGGCCGTCTTGGGGCTCTGTTGGGGACCTCTTCGGCAGTCTTGGGGCAGTCTTGAGGGCGTCGTCGGCTGTCGTGGAGCGTCGGGAGGTCGAAAACGCGAGACGCTGAAAAGCATAGAAGAAAGCGAATGAAAATCAAGGACTCGGGCTTCTTCGGCTCTCTCGGGACGCCTCTCGGAGGTCTCTGGAGACCTATTGGAAGCCTCTTGGGCTGTGTATTTGTGGTCTGGAACCATCTGGGGCCACGTTGGCGCTATCTGAGCTGTCTTGCAGGGACTTTTCGAAGTTCCCCAGGGGCTTCTGGGAGCGTCTTGGAGCTCTCTGGGGCAGTCTGGGGGCTCCACGGTCCCTCTGGGGTGCTCTCGGAGCGGTCTCGGAGGCCCCGGTCCCGCCATGCCCCCGCCATGCCCCCGACCTGGAGTCCAGGTCGCGGCCCAGGGCGCCCGGGCCTCGTGTGCGGGTGTATGTATATATAATATAATTAATAAATAAATAAATAAATAAATAAATATATATGTATTTATGTGAATATATATAGTTGTGTGTATATGTATATGTGTACACATGTATATTTATATATATATATACATACACGTGCATATGCATGTGTATATAAACATGTATATATACCCATTTATATACATATATATATATGCATAGATACAGATATGCATACGTACATAGACATATATATATATATATATATATATGTGTATATATATAGATGTGTGTGCACCTAGATATGTACATATATATATGTATATATATATATATATATATATATACTCGGTGGGTGGAGCTCCCCATCTGTGCATCTACTAGCATGGACCTGTCCGCCGTGAGTGGCTAGGCGCGAGAGTTTTCGAATAGAAGCGGGCTTGAGTATCGAAGGTCTGGGAGCCAATCTCACTGTGAATGAGTTGGAGTGTGAATGAGTCTCAGTAGTACGCGCGCGTCTCTGCACAGGAGCCCGGAGACTCCTGGGGCCTCATGAAACCTCTTGGGGTTTCCTGGGGCCTCCTGGAGCCTCTTGGGGCCACCTGGAGCCTCTTGGGCCTTCATGCGGCCTCCTGAAGCCTTCTGGAGCCTAGCGTGGCCTCCTGGGGCCTCCAGGAGCCTCCTGGAGCCTCCTAGGGCCTCCTGGTGAGGTTTCGTGTCGCAGGAGAGGCCAATATATAGGAACATACGTATATAAAACACTGTGGATTGGAGCCACAGGAGAAGGGCAATATATAGGATCACGCGCAAAAACCAAAGGACTCGCGTCCCAGGGGAGGCCCAATCTGTAAGAACACACGTAAATCACTTAGGATCGAATACAGACTGAGCTGCCCCGATACGCAACACACAACACGTAGCGTATTGATACGGAGCTCAACTTGTAGACTGAACACGTACGTTTTGAACATGGACGTTTTAAACACGGCACGTGTTGCGTTTCAAAACGTGCGTAGTAGAGCAGCTAAGGATACAGAGGAAACACTCTATAGAAACAGACGTAAAACACCAAGGATTCGTGCTCCAGGTGAGGCACAATATGTAAGAGTAGACGTAAACCACATGGGATTGGAGCCAGTCCCGTGGCCTTCTGAGGCCTCCTGCTCAAGGCGCCTCATGGTGCCTCCTGGCGCTTCCTGCAGGATCCTTAGGGAGGGGGGGTTCATGAAGACAGCGGGGAGCAGCACAGCGGGGGATGAGCACAGCGGATACACAGGCTCCGCCAACTATACACTCATCAGCATCAGCAGCAGCCGCATCATCATCATCAGTATCACATCATCAGCATCGTCATCATCATCATCATGAACACCATCGTCGTCATCCTCATCATCGTCCGTATCAGCATCAGCATCAGCATCAGCATCGTCGTCATCGTCATCAGCATCAGCAGCATCATGATAATAATCAGCAGCATGACCATCACCATCATCGTCACCACCACCGTCATAACCACCATTAGCATCGTCATCACGATCAGCAGCAGCATCATCATCACCACCACTGTCATCATCACCATCGCCATCATCAGCAGCATCATGGTACTCATCATCAGCAGCACCAGCATCATCATGGTCCGCAGCAGCACCACCATAATCATCATCAGCATCAGCATCATCAACACACTCATCATCATAATCAGCATCATCAGCATCATCAGCATCACAATCATCATCATCAGCATCAGCAGCATCATCATCATCATCATCATCATCATCATCATCATCATCATCATCATATGTATCTCTCTCCCCCTCACCATGCCTCCCTCCTTCTTGCACTCTTCCTTCCTGCTCCAATTCCCCTTCCTCCCCAGCCCCCGCCCCGGCGCGACAGGGGGCTCCGTGAGCGCCTTCATGAGCTTCTGATAGTTTCTCACAGCCTCCTGTCGAGTGGGGATCGGTTCTCTCCTCTCCATACAGCCCATCCGTCCCACCCCCTGCCCCAACCCAGCATCCTTGTCATCCGCCTCCTCGGATCACCCTGTTACCACTTACCCTTCTACAGTCCTACAGCTCTCCTCCGCCCCGCCCATTGCCTCCGCATCCGTCTGTCTCTCTCGTCTGTCCTTCGGGGCTCCCCCACACAACCGACCCGTGCCCGGGCGCCCGAGGACCCCAGCCAGGCCGCCGCGTTCCGCCCCCTACCTCCTGCTCCACTGCCAAACATTCTCGTGACCAGCTGCAGCAATCCCTGCCTCCGGCTCGCGGGGAGCAGCAGTTAATTCGGATCACAGGCTGTGCCATTCCAGCTCTTCTCAAACCACAGCACCACCGTCATACTACGCACGTGGTAGATGAATTCCCTTCGCGCAAAACCACTTCCGAACCCGAATGTTGTGTTTCTTGAGCTCCGTCTTGTCCACGGTGACCATAGCCTTCTACTTCTGTGTGGAGAAACGTACCTGACCGCATCCGAACGATCTGCCGTAGACGGCCCCATCGTGTGTGAGCACTCTGCGGAATTCCACGCTGCCCGCCTGCGTGACGCGGTCCTTTAGGTCGCGCCAATCGACGTCGCAAGGCAAGTTTCCTAAGTATACCTGGTTTGTAGCTGATGACGTCGACTCGATCATGCCTGGCCCCGTCTGTTGCCAGTGCTGTCCCTTTTCGCATTCCCTGCCCGCGCCACGGCTGGCCTGCGGCGCGCCGCTGCGCTTGTTTAGCGCGCACATGTTCCCCCACACCCTGGTTTCGTCCTCCTCGTCCCCCGCATCGCTGTCAGACATATCCTGCACATTATCCTCCCACGGCTGTGTGCACACACACATACATATATGTGTATATATATGTATATATACACCCTTACATACATTTACATATACCTATATATATGTATATATACAAGTGGCACGTGTGTGCCCAGGTTCATATATATAAGGGAAAAACTCAAAGATCGCTTGGAGCAACACAACGACGGCGGGATCGGACATGGAAAAAGAGAAGCTGGCACTCGAGCGCAAGCGGGGTTGCCACACCTTGCGATGTGTGTACCACGGCCCCCAAGAAGCCTCAGGAGGCCCGACCAGGATGCCGGAAAATATTCCGGGTGGCCCCAGGAACAGGCGTCTGGGATCGAGGTTGCGAGGATGTCCATAGAGGCCTCAGGAGGCCCGACCAGGAGGCCGCAAGAGGCTCCAGGAGGCCGAAGGAGAGTACGTCTGGGCTCGAAGTTGCGAGGATGTCGATGGAGGCCGCAAGAGGCTCCAGGAGGCCCGAACACGAGACCGCCAGCCCAAGGAGGCCCCAGGAGGCCCCAGGAGGCCCCAGGAGGTTCCAGGAGGCCCCCAGGAGGCTCCGAGGCGGGGTCTGGGGTACCAGAAAGTACGTCGGGGCTCGATGTTCGGGGGATGTTTCACGCGAAACCGCCATTATTTGAGAATCGGGGTCAAAATCATTGAAATTACATTGCCATGCCCGTGTGTTATTGAACCCTGACGTCACGATCTGTGAGAGGGGTGCCACCGATTTTCAGAATTTCGAAGATGTCCCTAGTGAAAAGGCCAGAAAAATCGCGGACGCGGCGCGGCGTTCAACTATTCACCTCTGAGCTCTACTCCCTCAAAGAAGTGCGTATGATTACATATATATACATACATAATATATATATATATATATATATATATATATATATATATATGTGTGTGTGTCTGCTTTTGTTCCTCCACCAGGTGTTCGTAGCAGTGCCCGTCCTTGAACACTTAGCGATGCTGTCGTGCAGGTGTTGGAAACCAGGTTGCCCCATGGCGTGTGGAATGCCTCTGTAGATCTTTCGCAGTGCCCCGACGGCCACCCCAAGCCGTCGAACTATGAATAGCTTGCACGCCGTGCCGAACACCGCCTGGATCATCATGTCAGACACGTCCTGTTCCTTCTCCTCCTCGGCTTCTTTTCTGCTCCTCGTGATGTCCGCACAGCCTAGCCGACCTAGTACATATGCATAGCGAACGGTGTACAAGCCTGCAAGGACACTTCCCACGGTATGGACACGGCGTTCCGCGTGACACATTGTAACTGATGGCGTCTTGTATCAAAATTTCTGCCGCCACAGCCCTACCTGCCGGCACTTCTAGCACAACTGCTGGCCCTTCTCGCACCACTGCCAAGCCGTCTCGCTCCACTGCCGCCCCTTCTCGCTCCGCTGCCGGCCCGTCGAGCACCACTGCAAGCACTCTTCGCACCAGCGCCCGCCCTTCTCGCACCACTGCATGCCATTCACGCACCACTGCCGGCCCTTCTCGCACCACTGCCGGGCCTCCTCGCATGACGGGACCGTCCTCAACACTGTAGCTGATGACGTCGGACTCAGGCTTCGCGGCCACACCACCGTCGTAGCTGATGGCATCGGACTCGTGCTTCGTTGTGCCAGCCTCATATATGATGGCGTCGGGCTCGGGTTTCGTACGACCTCCCCTGTAGCTGACGACGTTGGGTTCGCGATACGCCCCACTTCCTTTCCCCCGCCTCCTCCACCTCCTCCACCACCTCCTCTTCCTCCTCCCAGGCCAACCTCTGCCGCCACTGCCCCACCTGCCGGCAATTCTCGCACCACTGCCGCTGCCAGCCCGTGACGCACCACTGCCAGCCCTTCTCGCACCAGTGCCCGCCCTTCTCGCACCACTGCCTGCCCTTCACGCACCGCTGTCAGCCCTTCTGGCACTACTGCAGGGTCCTTCTAGCATGAGGGGACTGGCCCCGACACTGTAGCTGATGACGTCGGACTCGTGCTTCGCAGCCCCGCCGTCGAAGCTGATGACATCGGACTCGTGCTTCGTTGCACCGCCCTCGTAGCTGATGGCGTCGGGCTCGTGCTTCGCGTGACGTCCCCGTAGCTGACGACGTCGGGCTCTTGATTCGCCCAATTTCCCTCGCAGTTGTCGACGACGGGTGTGTTTCGTGGCGCCACCTTCGTAGCGGGTAGCGTGGGGCTCGTGCTTCGCTGTGCTACTCTCGTAGCTGATGGCATCGGGCACGTGCTGCTCGGGGCCACCCTGGTGGCAGATGGCGTCGGGCTCGTGCTGCACGACACCGCCCTTGTAGCTGATGACGCCACGCTCGCACTTCGTGTTGCCAACCTCGGAGGCACTGACGCCGGGCACGCGGGCGGTAGCTGAAGGCGCCGGTGCGAAGGCTGATAGATGAACCTGGTCTGTTCGGTTCTGCCACGTCTCCTGCTCATTCCACCACTTCTCCCACTCAACTAGCTGGGCCTGCAGCTCGGCTTTGCGCCGTTTCTGGATTCGCAGCTGCTCCATGGCTCTGCGCTGCGCCGCCAACTGGCGTGCCTGTCTGGCCTGACGCAGGCCTCGGGACCACGGGCTGAAGTCCGTGAACTGGTACTCGTTGCGCTCATCGTGAGCCTGCGGCAATGCGAATCACGGTGGCTCGCCTTGCCGCGCCCGCGCCATAGCTTCCATCGCGCCGCTCTGGTCGACCCAAAATGTCGTCGACAGGGCGCCTGTGACCGGCCCGCCGCGCGGCGATTTTCCAGCGGAGGAGCCGCGGGCCGGGCCCACGATGGCCCCCTCCTCCTTCATCCTCTCCCTCGCCCATACCCCACTCTTCCTCCTCCTCCTCTTCTTCCTCCTCTTCTTCTTCCTCCTCCTCCTCGTCCTCCTCCTCCTCCGCCATCTGCGCCTCCTCCTAATCCTCCTCCTCCTCATCCTCCTCCTCCCTCCTTCTCCCTCCTCCTCCTCCTCCTCCTCCTCCTCCTCCCCCTCCTCCTCCTCCTCCTCCTCCTCCTCCTCCGCCTCCTCCTTTTCCTCCTCCTCCTCCTCATCATCCGCCTCCTCGTCGTTATCTTCCTCGTTATCATCCTCCTCGTTATCCTCCTCCTCCTCCTCGTTATCCTCCTCCTCCTCCTACTCCTCATCGTTATCCTCCTCCTCCTCCTCGTCATCCTCCTCCTCCGCCTCCTCCTCCTCCTTCCTCCTACTCCTCGCCCTCCTCTTCTGTTGATTCGTCCTCTTCGTCTTTTTAGTTTTCATATTAATACGCTTATTCGTAATGCTAGGAGTGTTAGAATTGAAATTATTAGCATTACTATTATTCCCCATATCCTAAGTATGGGGTTCTTGTTATTGGCGGACCGCGCCGGAGGAGAACACAAACGAGAACACACCACTCCTCTCACTCAGACACACTCAGACTCACTCATCACGCAGACTCACTCATCACTCAGGCTCACTCATCACTCAGACTCACTCATCACTCAGACCCACTCATCACTCAGACTCACTCATCACTCAGACTCACTTACCACTCGGACTCAGGCATGACTCAGACTCATCTCTCCGACACACTCAACACTCAGACTCACTCATCACTCAGACTCACTCATCACTCAGACTCACTCGTACTTGTACTCATACATTCACTACACTCACTCAGGTCCACTCATCGGATGACTCACACACACACACACACACACTGATGTTGAGGATGTCTCAGGCGATTCTGTGGCTTCAGCACTCCTAAGGGGAGCGGCGGGGGGGTGTTGCACTCGGCCCCTTTCGCGGGATTTTGTTGGGATGTCTCAGGCGGTTTGGCCATTTTCTCTTCCAACATGTTTCGCTTTCGGAGCAGATTTGGAGGATGTCTCAGGCGATTCGCTGGTTTCAGTACTCTAAGGGGGGCGGCGGGGGGGTGTTGCACTCGGCCCCTTTCGCGGGATTTTGTGGGGATGTCTCAGGCGGTTTGGCCATTTTCTCTTCCAACATGTTTCGCTTTCGGAGCAGATTTGGAGGATGTCTCAGGCGATTCGCTGGTTTCAGCACTCTAAGGGGAGCGGCGGGGGGGTATTGCACTCGGCCCCTTTCGCGGGATTTTGTGGGGATGTCTCAGGCGGTTTGGCCATTTTCTCTTCCAACATGTTTCGCTTTCGGAGCAGATTTGGAGGACGTTCGCGCCCAGTTTGCGGGGATGTCTCAGGCGGTTTGGCCGTTATGATGCTGGGCATCTGTCGTTTTCGGAGCAGTTTTGGGAGGATGTCTCAGGCGATTTGCTGGTTTCAGCACTCCCAAGGAGGAGGAGGAGGAGGAGGAGGAGGAGGAAGAGGAGGAGGAGGAGGAGGAGGAAGAGAGGAGGAAGCGAGGAGGAGGAGGAAGAGGACGAGGAGGAGGAGGAGGAGGAGAAGGAGGACAGCATGAACACGGTAGGAGCAGAAGCAGGAAGGGGAGGATGATGATGATGATGATGAGGAGGAGGAGGAGGAGGAGGAGGAGGAGGACGTGGGCAACTCGAGTAGCCAGGGCCAGACGATCGAGGTTCGATGTTCCAAAGCTTTAGGTTTTACTCAAACGCTTCCGCCTCACTCTCCTTCGCTCTCCGCTCTCCTTCACTCTTCTGCATTCATACTCACTCATACTCAGACTCAGTCACACGCAGGCTCACTCGCACTTAGACTCGCTCATATCCATACTTAAACTTACTCACACTCAGACTCACGCTCAGAACCACTCATACTCAGACTCGCTCCTGCTCAGACTCATCATCCTTCGGTCCGCTCAAACGCAGACCGACTCACACTCAGACTGCCTCACATCCATACCCAATCACACTCGGCTCACTCGCACTCAGATTCATTAACACACACTTTTTCTCACACTCAGACCCACTCAAGCCCAGACTCACTCATGCTCAGACTCATCATGCTACGATCCGCTCAATCACAGACTGGCTCACACTCAGATTCGTCCATACTCAGACCCACTCGCACACAGACGCACTCGCGCTCATATTTACTCACACGCATACCCACTCAAACCCAGGCTCAATCGCACCCAGATTAACTCACACTCAGAATCAATCGCTCTCAGATTTGCTATTGGTCGCACTCATGCTTGCAGACTGTGGGAATCTCTCGAGCGAGCGGTTCGCCCTCGCACACAGGCGCCCACTGGCAGATATCAAGAGAAAGACGTACCAAGAGAATGAGATGCACATATGGGGAGCCCCGCGTCGAGTAATTAATATTAGCATTAGTAGTCGTAGTACTTTTACGATTACTAAGAATATTTATATTCGTAGTAGTATTAAAAATATTATTGTTCGTACCGTTAGCATCCGTAGCATTGGTATTCTTACTAGTAGTACAAGTGATACGATAATACTAGCATGATCACTAGAATTACTAGTATTATTAGTGTTGATATGTTTCGACTACTGTGTATTAATATCAGTCCTTTGGTCAGTCGTAGTATTATTATGATTAGTAGTAGTTCAATTATTAGTCGTACTGTTACTAGAATTGTTATTAGCAGTAGTAGTAGTAGTAGTAGTAGTAGTAGTAGTAGTAGTAGTATGAATAGTAACGTGGTTCGCCTTACCATTATCCGTACTACTATGTTTACAATGGTTACTATTACAATTCGTCGTACTATTATTAGTTATAGTTATGCGATTCGTATTAGTATTCGTAGTCGTGTTAGCGTTGTTCTACTTAGTACTAATATGGTTATTAATGTTATGATCGTTCGTAGTATTCATAATCTGTTTTATTCTTAGTACTCGCATTATTCTTCGTATTAGCATTATCCTTATTCTTCTTACGAGTATTAATAATATTGATATCATGTGTATTCCTCCTCCTCCTCCTCCTCCTCCTCATTCTCCTCCCCCTCCTAGGCGACGTGGTCCGAGGCGCCCATTTTGGGAAGCAGCCCGATCGACCGCGACCCCAGCCCCGTGAGAGGGGCGCTTCAGCGGGACGAGCGAGCAGCCGCGATCTCGCTCGCCCGCGCGGCATCGCCGCGAGAGGCGACGCAGGGCAGAGTCTCGGCATCGCCTGAGGCGCGAAGTGGACAACAGCCGCCTGGAGAGCCATCACGGGAGTGCTGCACCGACAATGGCCAAGGGCGGCGGCGGAGACGACGCCTACACTCGTTTCCCAAGGTTTCTGTGTGCGAACGAAACGCGATCCTCATTCAGCTGGATTGCAGGTGCAAGCGCGGGGCCAAGATCGAGCCCCACAAAAAGAAGCCTCCCGAAGGCAAGGGAATGGGAAAGAAGCAGGTCGAGCTGAACCTCAGCGTGCCAGCAGCGGGTGCGGACCCGGCCCCAATCCTGCAGCAGGCCGTGCAGGTGGCAGCGGACCCCGCGATCAGGCTGGCGCTGCAGGCGGCGCTCGCTCAGCAGGCCCCCCACGCAACCAAGGCGGTCGTCTCAGCTGGAGGCGGGGGGGGGGCGCGCCGCAGGGCGGAGGCGGCATGGCGGGACGCCAACGCCAAGCACGATGCGGCGGTCAAGGCCGTGGAGCGCGCCGCCGGCGCAGGCGGAGCTGGCCAAGAGGACGGCAGTGAGGGCCCTTGCGGCCGAGGCGGGCCCCACCTCCTCCACCGCATCGGCCTCGCATGAGAAGGCAGCGGCCAAGGAAGCAGGGGACCTCAATTTCGACGTGGTCTGGGACGAGTTCTTCTTAGAATCCCTTCGGGGCGGCCCCTCGAATGCGAGGACGCGGAGAAGCAGGAGCTGCCGAAGCTGGAGATGGACCTGGTCGCGGCCAAGTCCTACCTAGGCGAGGAGGGCGGGAAGGCGCGAGAGCGGCACGCCCGCATGGAGGCGCTGAAGAACGAGCTGCCCACCAGGATGGCCAAGAAGCGCAATGGGACCGATGGCGCGTCGCAGACCGCGGGGGCACCTGCCGCGGGCGAGGCCCCAGCCGAGCCGAGAGCGGCGGGGGCCCCCGCAGCGACGGGCGCCTCGGCTGAGGAGTCGGCGGTGCACGGCCCAGGAGCGCGCGGACGCCGAGACCGCGCGCACCCGCAGCACCGAGGCGGCAGGGGCGCAGGCGGCCGCCGCCACTGCGGCCCAGGCCTCGCAGGCAGCACAGGTGGCCCAGGCTGCAGCAGCCGAGGGCAGCTGGCGAGGCGGCGGGGGCGGCGCGGCGGCCGCCCGCGCGCGAGGCCGAGCGGCCCCTGCGACGCCCCGCTTGCCACCAGCAGGGGGGAGCAGGGGCCGGGGCCGCTCAAGAGTCGGCGGCCACCTCGGCCGACGCCGGAGAGCTGCCTTCGGCGTCCCCGAGCACGACAGCAGCGGCAGCTGCAGGAGCGCCAACGGGGCCGAGAGCTGAGCAGCCGCAGCTTGGTTCGAGGGGTACGACAGCAGGTGGCGACGCGGCATTGCCTCAGCCATCGTCGTTGTCAAGGGACCATGAGGTGGCCCAGATACGTTTTCGAATACCACAGATCTCGGTCGCAAGGCGTGGGGTTACCTGATGCACATTGCTGGCAGCCAGGCCTTTCAGAAATTCGCCACT